CGAACCTGGAAATCCAGTGCTGTATCATTACCTCAGCTACTGTGACTGCCTCTTGATCAGGAATAGGATAAGCTTCAGGCCACTTGGTGAAGTAATCAATGACAACGAGTATGTATTTGTTGCCATCAGCAGTTCGTGGCAGAGGGTCCCAGGATGTCAAAGGCGATACGTTCAAAAGGCGCACCTACGTTGTAAACGTTGCAGTCTGCCTCGGCTGCGTTTCCTCGGTCCTTTCCGACCTGCACAGGCATCGCAAGATCGGCACCACTTTTGCACGTCATTCTTTGCATTATTCCAGTAAAAGCGCTCACGAACTCTCTGTAAGGTCTTCATAATTCCAAAGTGACCTCCTGTAGGGCTGTTATGTAGTTCTTTGAGGACATCAGGAATCCGGGATCTCGGAAGTATCACTTGCCATCGGAACGTCTTCCCATCATCCGACTCGAATTTCCGGTATAAGACGCCGTTTCGAATGTGAAGTGAATCCCAGAGTGCCCAGTATTGTTTTGTTGTAGGACTACAGATAGAAATGTCCTGCCATGTAGGTTTTCTGTTTGATGACTCTATTAAATCAAGTATGGATTTAATGTCGCGGTCTTCCAGCTGGTCTTTCCTGACTTCATCATCACTCCACGGGTCTCGAGCAGCCGATGTTGATGTTGTAATTTGTCTTGCGACCGGAGTCAGCAGTTCGTATTTCTTCCCCTGGAACAATATCGGCAGTTTTCTTGGCAAGGTCTCTAGACAGGGCGTCGGCGTTTCCGTGTGATGATCCCTTACGATGACGGATAGTGATGTCATATTCTTGGAGTCTCTGTATCCACCTGGCTATTTGACCCTCAGGATTTTTGAAATTTAAAAGCACGCCAATGAGGCATGGTCCGTGCGGAGGGGGATTTTCTCCCGTATAGATAATGATGGAAATGTTCTACAGCTTTGACTATGGCGAGCAACTCTTTCTTGTGACACAGTAATTCCTCTCCGGTTTAGACAGGCACTTGCTCCAGTAAGCTACTACACGTTCTTGGCCGTCTATTTCTTGGGACAAAACAGCACCAACACTTTCATTGCTCGCGTCGGTGTCGAGAATAATGGTCTGTCGAGCTGAGGATACGTCAGGATTGGAGCAGATGTTAAAGCTTCCTTTAAGTTGTTAAATGCATCCTCGCATTCCTTTGTCCACAAGAATCTTTGCTTGCTCTCTGTCAGCTTGTGAAGTGGTCTTGCGATGGAAGAAAAGTTCTTCACGAATCTCCTATAGTAGGTGCAAGCCCTAGGAAGCTTCTCCAGCTGATGGACATTTTCGGGACGCGTCCAGGATTTAACCGCTGATACCTTTTCAGGATCCGTGCGCACACCTTCTGCCCAGAGATGACATGTCCCAGGTAAGTCACTTCCTTTCGAAACAATTTGCATTTAGCGGGAGTCAGCTTCAGATTGGCCTCTTTCAGTTTCTGAAGCACCTTTCTAAGATTTTCTAGATGCTCTTCAAAACTCTTTCTGACGATGATGATATCGTCCAGGTATATCAGACAGGCTTCGTAAGAAAGGCCTTTCAAAACAACAGTCTCCATAAGACGTTCGAATGTTGCCGGCGCATTACACAGTCCAAACGGCATCACTTGAACTGCCAAAGTCCTTGTCCCGTAGTAAATGCCGTCTTTCTCGGTCATCAGGATGGATTTCTACCTGCCCAATACCCACTCTTTAAATCAAGTGTTGAGAACCACTTGCTTCCAGAAAGAGTGTCTAGAATGTCATCAATTCTAGGAAGAGGGTAACCTGTCTTCTTCGTAACCTCATTCAACCGGCGATAGTCAACGCAAAATCTTGTTGAGCCGTCTTTCTTTCTGACGAGAACGATGGGAGATGCCCATGGACTCGCTGAAGGCTCGATGACATCGCCTTCTTCCATATCTTTTAACAGTGTTCGCACCTCTTCCTGTTTAGCAAACGGTAGACGTCTTGGATGTTGCTTGATCGGGGGATGATCGCCAGTATCTATTCTATGTTGTGTCAAACTAGTTCGACCCACGTCAGAAGACGAGCGGGAGAAAAACAACTTGAAGATCTTTAATGACGCGATCGGCAGCATTTTCTCTTTATCGTTTAATTGTGCATTCTGCAATAACTCCGATGTAATGCTCTCCGAGGACACGGATTCTGGGATGTTACTCTTTTTTCAACGCTGGTTACTGGAGTACATGTTGCAACCACTTCACCTTTCTTAATAACTCTCGACTTTTCAGTTACATTGGCGACTCTCACCGGGATAACCGTTCTGGATAGGTCGACGAGTGTTGAGGCTACTAATACTCCTTTTGGGATATTACAGTTATTGGGATATTCTATGATGCCGTAGCGGAAATTTCTATTTTCGGCTATGGATCCAGGAAGTAAAATTTCTGTTCTTGCCGGTATTGTAATATAGTCTTGTGCTATGATTTTATGGACAGATTTAACTTCTTCATCATTAACGAGAAATAACGCTATGTCCTCAGATGTAGAATGCAATTCGTTATTTTTAAAATCCAAGGAAAAATTGTATTTCCTTAGAAAGTCCAATCCGAGTATGCAAGAATCAGTGATTTCTGCTACATATGCCGTGTGATGGTAAGCGGCTTTTCCAAACGTGATGTTAACATTTACTTTTCCGTCGATGTCGATCTTCTCACCGGACACAGTCTGGAAGGTAACACAGGGCGGCGTCCAGATAAGTTTGTTTCCTAGTTGTTGAGCCAAATCTTTTCGGATGATGGTGACGTTGGCCCTGTATCTATAGTCATATTGCACGGAACTCCATTATGTCCTATTATGAAAAGTCCATTACTGCCGCCTCGCACTGCAGAAATCTGAAGCGCTTTAAACGGGGGCTTTTCATTATCTGGCAACCTCCGCCCCGCGAGATGGCCACTAATTAGTTTCCCTGCTGCTTGTTAGAAGCGGTCTTAACATCAGTACCCTGGGGTGTTTTGCAGTTTCGTCGTATGTGTCCTTCAGCACCGCAGTTCCAGCACTTAACGGTCGGTTTCTTCTCACCAATATTCCGTCTCAAGGCGTTCAGTTGTCTAGTTAAATCGTCAAGTCGAGCGGTGACTTGATCCCCTGGCTCCTGGACTTGAGCAGCTCTGACTGGGTGGCGGTCTCGACGAGTGGCTTGCTGGGCTGCCTCAAATTTCATGGCGTACACTAGAGCACTTTTTAAATCTTTTACATCCGCCATTCGTAGAGCTTTCTGTATTTCAGTATCTCGGATGCCGTCGATAAAGTATTGCAAGGACAGGATTTCTCTTGTTTCTGTCGGCGAGAAGGCCGAAAAGGCGAGATGGGACAGCCTATCAACATCCGCGGCGAGCTCCTGAAGTATTTCGGTAGGCTTCTGTTGACGAGATTTTAATTGGAGCCTGCTGTAGTCTTTTAAAACACTTCTCCCCAAAGCGCAACACCAAGGCGCCGGACAGAGCTTCGAAATCTAACCTTTGTTTTCGGGAAGAGTCTGAAGGATATCCGCTGCGTCGGCTCTTAGAGAAGCGGCGAGATGACAGGCCTTAGCTTGGGAATCCCATCCATTCGCATCCGCCACGATAGAAAATTGTGTCTTATACACCTGCCAGGAGTCTTCCCATCATATGTGGATAGCTTCAGAGGTGGACGAGCAGGCATTGGTAAGAATTTAAAAATCATCACTCCTGCTCCCTGCCGACGCTACGAATTTCTTTAAAGTATCCATTTCTTTGGCAACTGCAGAAACTCTCTCATCAATTTGTTCTTTTACAGAAGAAACTCTTTCTTCTATTTCTTCTTTCACCGAAGAAAAAACTCTTTCTTCAATATGTCCAACTTTATTTTCAACTGCGTCAATTCTGCCTTCCATAGCTTCAAATTTATTTTCTATTATGCAAGTAATTTCTCTTTTCATTTCTTCTTGACCAGCTTGAACGGCTTTCATTTCGTCCTTAACGGATTCCTGGCCCAATTTCATTTCTTCCTTAAATGATGCTTGGCCAGCTTCCATCTTTTCTTGGAATGCAGCAAAAGCACTAATGAGCTGTCTCAATTGTTCTTCCATCGCTCTTGTTATTGGCATTCAAACCCCACTCCTGACACCAAAAATTATTGCGTGCGTACGGGTTCGTTATGAAATGAATGCACAAGTCCGAAGAAAAATGAACAAAAATTTATTATTATCACAACAAAAATGCTTAAATTTTCTCAAATTATCATGCAGTATTACAATATCTCACAGTAGTTTTCTTTTAACTACTCAAATGTCAATAGAACGTAATTCAAAACAGCTAAAGAACGCTAGTCCGCGAATTCGCTACAATCAACAACAGTAGTTTTCTAAACAACAACAAACTAAGCAACTACTACAAACTGAGATGTTTTCCTCCTTTTATAAGATTTTAAAATCACGCGCTAGAATTTTCCAGTATTTTCTCGAAATCAAAAAGAGATATTTATTTATTTAATGCACGCGCTCTTGTATTTTCAATTTTCCGGCTTAGCTTTCTTTTAATATTCGTCACGCGCTGCACTGCGCGAGAAATAAAACCATTTAATTTATAATTGAACTAACATTAGCTTTTTAAATACCAAATTCGTAACAGTATTCTTATGCATTCTGACCAATGATAAGAACGGGCAAGAGAAGGACTTTGTATAAGTCGTCGAGCCACGGTTATACACTTTCTTCGTGGTTTTACAGTCAGATAGAAATTCTACAGAAATGAAACTGATAAGCTAGTCTATCTGCGAGACCGTCATCTTACTAGTCATTGCAAATGTCAAATAAAAACATCTAGAATCGCAGTGAGGGAAGTCCACTTATTTATAAACAATCCATATAAATTCCTCAATGAATGCATACCTACCTATAGGCAGATTTGGCCGTTATGTGTGCTTTGCTGAAATCAAATATACATTAGCGTATTGAAATATAACTAAGTTAAATAAAATATGGAATTATGAATTTGAACTTAACATTTTCTCTTTTTCAGGGCAGTGTTTGAATTTCAATTGCGCCTTCATCGTAATATTGGTTCTACGACAAACATTAACGTGGCTACGAACGCATGGATTTTCCCAATATTTTCCTATTGATCAACACTTGTATTACCACAAACTTACAGGATGGGTGATTTTCTTCTATAGTTGGCTTCATACAATTATGCATATTGCGAATTTCGGTAAGTACGTGGACAAACTTTTCTCTGTGAAGATTGACCAAATATCTGTAAAAATTTCGCAATTAATACAGTTAATATGAGAGATTGTTTTGCATTAAATTTGGTCGCAAAGAAGTAATCTTTAGTAGGTTTGTTTTTATTGAAAGAAAGTAATGTGTCATATAGAGGGTAAAGTTGCTTTTTTTACTGTTGAAAACTTTTCTGTATTAAAAAAGCTATTAAAATCAAAAATATTTCCTAATATGCACCAACTAAAATTATTCTGCATTGTTTTCATGGATGTTCCGATTGTGATCATTACCTTTTACGTGGTATGACGTCTGCTGGTGATAAAATTTAAACTTGTCCAAACATGTGTTTCCTTTTTAAATTTTTTCGTGCACTCCATACTCCATTATGCACATTTGTTCGAATTTTGTATGTATTTTTAATTTTTGAAGAATTTTGGATCACTTTGAACAAGATTTCGAAAATTTTGCTCTTTTTGTCTTTGATAGCAATCGTTAAATTCAATATAATTTTTATGTAAATCGTACTTGTGCGTATACTGAGCCTTTCTGCCGTTATTTTCAGGCAACATTGCCGTTATTTTCTGCCGTTATTTTCAGGCAGTTTGATTTTTTTCAGTGCATATGGGATAGGTTTATTTCCTCAAATTCGTGACTTTTTACTTTGCATGCCACAATTTTCTCCGTTTACCTATTAAACTAGTACATGTCTATCAGCGGCTAAGCTAGCACCACTTCAACCCAAGTTCGGTCACTAAAGAGTAAATGTGGTTGAAGGGGATTTCGACAGTTGACCCTAATACGATAAATAGATTTCCTTTAAAAGATCTCTGCGATGATATTTAGCCAAATACACATAGCTCTACTGAAATAATTTAATCTTTTGAGCCCGCATTTTTCGGCCAGTAGCTTGTAACTGCGGAAGTAGACTAAATAGTTCTGTGCATTATCCGTTTTTCGGTACTTTTTCCTCCACATTTGTGCGATACACAATACAACTGACCGTAAATGAAGTTCTATCAGAAAACTTGTATGCAGCTATTTTCCGATCAAAATTAGAATTACTAAGATGCTTAGTGTTATAGAACACTTGTTAATAATATATATACACCCTACTAACAGTATAATTATTGTTATTACAGTATGATTACGAAAACAAATCAATTTCTCCATTCAAGTACAGAAGACACTTTTCCTTTGAAGCCATACTACTTGGAGTTGGTTCACTTAGACTATTTCCTCTGTGCCACGCGTCGTCGGTTTTGTTTTACCTTCTTCTAGTCGAAAATTATCTTTATAGTCATCGCTCACTGAAACATGTTCTTTATCTAATCATATTTTTGTTGTATTTACTACAATGGCTCTAGCAGTTCGAGATTTGCCAACAGATTAGAAAGCAGCTATTCCATTTCTTTAAGACAAAGTAACCTTGCCAAAGCAATCTTGTGTTCCAACAATCACCTTGTGAAATTAAAATGAGACTCGAAACCGAAATGGCCTTCGTTTATACCGTGAAAAAAGTATCCGAATACAAAGGGGATTTGATGGATTCTGTAATGCTTTTACTATTGCCATATTATTTTACTTATGCTGTTAAAATTTAACATCAATGTAGTTTTGCAAACCGCAGCTTCAAATGAATCATAACGGTTTGTTGGAATCATTACAGACGAGAGGTATTGTCAGTTCCTTGTTATCCTGTCTTGAAATTGGTAGAAAACAAAATTTTGGAAATCTACAAATGCTTATTCATAGGAAAGAAAGCCAACCAGTGGCCGAGAGATAACGTCGCTGAACACTGTGGTAGTTGATGGATAAAATCGCTGAATTCTGTGTTCGGCGGGGTTGTGTTACATGGATACATATCATTTTCTCATCAAGGCATCCTTCTTTTTAAGCAGATAGTTCTCTTAAGCTTTAACCAAATCAACAATAAAAAATGAAAAAAAATGTAGGAAGTGTTCTTTGCAGCAGAAATATTGTATTATCTCAATGCTAGAGTGATATTAATTTTCCGGTTTACAGACTGTCATATACAAACATTTAACGATAAATTAATTACTTAGCAAAAGGGGAGAAGAGCTGAAAAAATAAAAGTGTAAGGAGCGTAAGGAAAGAAATGAGCCAAAATGTCATAAATTTAGTCAAAAAAATGCGTGTTATGGTTTTAACACAAAATTATTATCCATAAGTCGAATAGCTATTTCTTAAATTGTAATCTGTTACTTTCAAATCTATTTTAAGCTAGCGCGTATGAAAGTTATGAACGAAAATCCAGTTCATGGAAAAACTTTGAAATAACAATAATAAAACTTAAGTAAAAGTGTTAATAAACATTTATAACATAAACAGTTTAGCGTCTGAATTCTAAATAAAATAATTCAATAAAATGGTCTAAAAAATGTTCATTAAAATGGTCTAAAATCCAAAGAGTTGATCTAAATCTTTTCGAAACTTCGCCATTCAGGATAACATTTTTTTTTTGTTTGTTTGTTTGTTTGTTTAATCCATGGTTATTATTTTCGACAGTTAAACACACCAGGAAACATAGCATTGTTTAGCAAAGTCTTCTATCCCAATCGCAAAGTATTACTGTGCTATATCAAATGTTATATAAACAACATAAATTCATACTTAATAATTACAAATGAACACCATATCTGTGAAACAACTAGAGCAAAAGTTCATTCTGAGCTATGCGGTAGGTAACTGTGTGTATAAGTCACTTAACTGAACATATCAATCAATAATGTAACAATAACATACTAAGTATTGTGAGCAGTCATAGTGAAACATAAATGCAAGATAAGTAAACAATTTTAAATTCCAAGATGTTGCGTTGGTGTGTTAAACAAAACCCATTCTATGTTTAAGGGTCCAGTGTGTAAAAGATAATTACAATAAATACAAACAGGTGAATAAAATCAACTTACGTTTATTTAAGGTAGGAATATATTATGATTACAAAACATAAAAAGAGAGTCATGACCTCACTAAACATTACAATAAAACGTGGTGGCTGGATCAATTAAAGTACTAATGTGAAAACAACAGAAAAGGATGACATACCATTCCTTAACATATTAGGGATCCTTCATATATTTGAGTTTTGTTAGTGAACCTTATTACTCAAGGAAAACTTGGGATAGTATCTGAAATTAGAAAACAAAAAAGGGTTAGATTGACGAGACTCAACCAAGCTATTGGTTCGGAGGCCAGGCTTCCCTCCTATTACTGCTTCCAACCCGCAGGACACAGGTCTTCCCTCCACAGGCCATCATGACAGCGTAAATTTTAGGATTTTAGAAGTATAGGTGTTGCAGCCTCTCTTCGGTGTTGGTTAATTTACGTGGCTACGTCTAAGATGAGGCTCACCTCCGAGCTGCTCGTCCAAGTTGACATCTTTATAAGTTTCTCGTGAAATTTCTTTTTTTTTTTTTTTTCCGTCTCTCTTCTGTCGTCTCCGTCACTGTCTGACCCGTCTCCCGAAAGAAGCCTCTCGAAAACACTGCGCAGCCGTTTTAGTAGCTGGCGCGTTTTTTGAAAAACTTGGCGTAGATGTTGACTAGCAGGAAGCCCAAAAAAGGCAACCCACACTCTGGATCTTCACGGGAAAAGGGGTTTCCCGACTACCAAAAGGAGCCGTTTTCTCGCCATTCATCCATTCCATCGTTCAACTTCCAAGGCCACACCAATGTGTCATCACAACTGCAGGCGGAAACAAGGGGAGAAGAAACTAGCCTCGCTCCAGGGTCCCAGTCGATAATGCAGATCTTCTGTCTCAACGTATATTTTCCCCCACCATAAGTATGCTGTAGAACATCCCCCTGCTATCCTGGTCCCAGGCAAAACAGGGTCCTCTTTTTCGTGAAAACCACAGATGGTAAAACTATCAAGCACTTTCGCCCCCCACACATGGTGGAACGCTTAGCAGAAAGGAATTTTGGGGTGCAGTACAATTGCTGATAAGAATTTTCCGCTGAAGGAAAGAGGGCAAGGGGGGGCGAAAATCTCTGAACTAAGTTAATACAAAATGACTTTGGGTAAATTAAAAAAAATGAAGCTACTAATTACACAACATTATAATTACATAATAAAAATGTCAGCACTGTAATAATTGTTTCCTCAGCCACCAATTGAGACTAAACACAATTTATCCAAAAGAAATACAAATAGAATCAAATTATTTTTCTTCTACCGCCAGTCAGAAAGTATGTATTCGTTTAACGTTTAAAAGAAAGAGGGATACCAATTAAATTACTCAAAGTTAAGAAAAAAAATTAACACACAAAGGGTGCAACAACAAAGTTTTTAAAATAAAAATTAAAGTTAAAAGTTAAACAACCTTAAGGGTCAAAACAACTAGAACAAAAACAAAAATCCAAGTCCCTAAACTCAAATTAAAATTAAACAACTTCAACTCAGAACTTATAAAAGCAACCTAACCAAAACTTAAAGTTTACAAAAGTTACAATTTAAACTTACAACCCACTTTAAACAACAATAAAAAAATTAGAACTTCAATTACAAATCAAAACTGAAATAAGCAAAACAACTTAAGCTTAAAAAATATATATATAACGTTTAATACATAACACAAATGAGATTTTTCTTTTAGCATTTGAGTTCTCTTTAGGCGATTACCCTTACTAAATTTTGCATAAAATAATTCTTTTTAAGAAAAATCTTAGTTAACATTAAAACATTAGTTGCTTTTAGTACTTAGATGACCTCCCTTTGCAGTTTACAATACTTAAAATCAACTCCTTTAAAACAAGACAGTTTGTCGTTTCCAGCTAATCTCTGTAAAGGGACACTTGCCAACCTAGCGTGACAAACTGGAATTTGTTGTGAATAGATGGGAAAACTGGATTGTTCAACAAATACAGTCTCTTTAAACAGGCAAGTACTATTTCATAGAACCATCACTGTAGTTCTTCGTTCCAGAAAGCAGGATTTGTAATTAATCTAGGCTAACTTATTATTTTCGCGGACATAACTTGTCATTATGGGTAAATATGTGACATGAATCAAAGGGCAAATAAAACAAGATTTAAATCAAGTTTAACTTGGTAAAATTTAAAATACCTGCCATAATGTTATAACCTCCTTCTGTTCACAGTTCATTGGATTCATTTGTGTTTCTCCTGTTTTAGCTGAAATGTCTGAAGAAGACGATACTCCCGATTTGATTGAATATCTTACTTCAACGAATTTAGGCATTGGATGGGTAAACGGCGTAGCATGCCTCACAGGATGGGTTCTTCTAGTGATGCTTACTGTCATGGTTGTCTCTGCAATGCCTTTTGTCCGGAGGAATGGAAAATTCGAAGTACGATTGTTCCATATACAGAATACAGAAATTTCATAAAATGTGTCTCCGTAAATTGTTCTTGTAAATTTTGTATCTTTTCCTTTATAGGACAATATGCGCTAAACTTTTTATCGAAACAAGGTACATTGCGATACCTGACGGTTATATTCCTTTCTTTTATTAATTTGCCGATTCCTTACTCATGTTAATTCTTGCAGAGGTGCTGAGATGAAGACCAAAAACTCCCTTCAGAAGATCTTGGTCGCTATTGTTGTTTCTTAGCCATTTTTACATTGATTGCACTTTTATCTCTCATAAAAGTGCTTTGCTTACAAAATAAATTATCAGCAATATTTTTTTAATTATGTCATTCTGTTTTAGTTTTTTGTATACTCAAAACCGTATCTAGAAGATTAGATGTTTAAAAATATTTTACCACCATGTTGTTCTGTAAAGGAAAGGATCCCATTCCCATTTGAGTGATCCAATGAATGAAATTTTATGCACCTGAAAGCAAAACTAATAAAATATTTTGTTAATTCAATGATTCTAATTTGGTTACTGGCTAATAGTAAGTAATAATTTAATAGTTTACTGGCTAATAGTAAGTAATAATTTAAAACTCTGACTTCCACTTGGATGTCAAAATAGACTTATCAATAATAACTATGCTCTTGCAAAATTATCTAGAATATTTTGGATGGTGTCCACATGTCTCGTGTTCTTGTTATATGTTCCTTTTCTCATTTGCAGTAATTCCAGTATAACTAAATACGCTCTGGAATTGCAGTTGACTTACTAATGGCTAAGTGGCTGAGATCATTGAAATGATATCCTGACAAACTGGCTGCCTGTATGAGAGTTCATCGATCTTCTGCATATGTAACAGGAATATGAACCAGTTCCCTTTAAAATGTACCACAAAGGCCTCCTCTTGTTAGACAAATAATTCTTGTTTGCTTTGCCATAATCAAAATAACTCAATTCAGATTTTGTCTTTATTCAACCCAGCAGGGAGGTTTTGGTGTCATATACTTTTCAGAACATTGGCTACCGAAATGCTAGGTTGGGAGTTCAATCCCTGGCTGGCAGCCACTTTCTGTAACATGGTACAGAATGTTTCACATAATCATCTTGTGAATCGTAAAAATGTTAAGCTGACATGCGTTTTAATATTCTGTATTCTATTGCATCTCCCATATGTATCGATTATGTATTTTTATTGCAGACGCTCCCACCTTTCCTGTGCTTTGTCAAAGTTAAAATGATGCAGCTATGACCTCTGCATTTTACATTCATTTTTAATCTTCTTTGACTCCATCACTCACTATGGACTTTCAGTCCCCTCTTCTAGCATCTAACCGTAACTGGGATCACATAAGGTGCGGCAGCGTTCATAGTAGTGTAACAGCTTTAAATATTATTAAAATCTTGTAGTTTCAAATAAATAATTTAATTAGATGAACATTAAGCTATTTGTGAATGGCAATATTTGAAACCAGACTCGAGTGCCACGTGCGACTCTCGCACGAAGAATGCAATTTTATTTTTAAATGTTAGTATTCTTTTTCTCTCCTTGTTTGTATGTCGCCATTTTATTTAGTGTTAAATAAAAGTTATTGCTGTGTTCCATCATTGGAGTTTCTTCATATCGCCAAAGAAGTATTACAGTCTTAATTATTTTGGAGGCACCGGTGAGATCGAATAATCGTGCGTATTTTTATTTTATTAGTTCATCACTGAACATAATATTAGTGATACTAGATTATTACTTCCTGTTCAAATAGAATTGCTTTATTTTATTAGTTCATCACTGAACGCAATATTACTGATACCAGATTATTACTTCCTGTTCATATAGAATTGCTTTATTTTATTAGTTCATCACTGAACGCAATATTGGTGATACCAGATTATTACTTCCTGTTAATAATAAATTGTCTTATTTTATTACCGTATTTGATATTATATTTAATATTCATTTTAGTTGTCCAAACGGTAGATATATATATATTGCTCTATGTTATTATTCTTATTTTAATCACAATGTGGTAGAGAGAATGAACTTCATATAATTTAAATATTTCATTTTTGAGGTATACGTATTTAACAAAGTGCGTTTAATTCCGTGATTCCTGGCTGCATTAATTAATTAAAGTAACTGATTTGAGCTATTTTGAGGTAGTATAGATGAACATTAAGCTATTTGTGAATGGCAATATTTGAAACCAGACTCGAGTGCCACGAGCGACTCTCGCACGAAGAATGTAATTTATTTTTAAATGTTAGTATTCTTTTTCTCTTCTTGTTTGTATGTCGCCATTTTTTTAGTGTTAAATAAAAGTTATTGCTGTGTTCCATCATTGGAGTTGCTTCATATCGCCAAAGAAGTATTACAGTAGGATATTAAAAACACACCATAAGGCAGTAACTGTAATTTATTTATTACTTCTATGTCAATTAATAGTTAAAGGTATGCCATTTACTAATGTGTAAGTCATTGTCCATTGCGTGGATTACTTTTTGAATATGATGCCCCCTCTGCACAACACATTCATCTAGGCGGCTTTGGAAACTTTCCATAGTTCGGCGTAACGTATTCCCTGGGACCTTGCTGGCGGCAGTTCGGATGCGATTCTTCAACTCAGGAACGGTGACACAACGTGTTCGGAAAATTTCTTGCTTCAGGTGCCCCCAAAGTCTGCGCATGAAAAATCAGGTGAGCCAGGAAATTACTGTACCTGGAAATGTCTGTCGCAATGGTCCGTCCATCTGGAACTTTCCTATAACGTCCCAAGTTGAAATGTCGCCGAAACAGACGCTGGGTACCAATAACAGAGTAGTTATTCTTGAAATAACTTTCAACAGCAAAGACACGATGCTGTGCACTCCAACGATCCATATCACTGTCCCACTCGAAATGGCAGCTCATTAGTACACGAATGCGGCACGAGCTGGCGCGCATTCATGCAGTACGTCATTGTGCTATGCAATTCAAATTACGCTATGAACGCTGCCGCACCCTGTACATATGTACTCCCTGCACAAAAAGGGACAGTTCGATACCTCCCGTTCTACTGGGCAGATTGACTAAATTTAACTTGCGTTTTCCATGCCTCGAAGGCGCGACTTAGGATATATATTAGCTTTATATATACAGGTGATTCTAAATTGCTTTTACAAATCAAGAGGAGTGATAGTACTCACCCAGATGAGCAATAATTACTATAGAACATAGGGTCGCATTCCGCTCTGAGAGGCAGAAAAGAGGAATATGGGAATTCCAACCTGAACTTAACAACAGTGTTGGGAGAAGGAATTAACGAGACCAAAAGTTGCGCAATCAGCGCAACTTTTGGTCAAATTCAGAGAAACTTTTGGAAGCGCAACTTTTGGAAAAATTCAGAGAGTGCACAAAACAGGTAAAACCGAAAACTTGGCGTTCGAGTGTTAATTCGAGCTCAGACATTGATGGCAAACACTCAAATGCACATCTTTGGTTCGCAAAATCTCAACCTCGCAAACGATTGCAACAAGTTAATTATCTAATCAAGACGGCAGTTACATTCGCCCATCTACTATCTTGTTCTCCTGGACTTATTGTGGTTAGCTTGAAGCGCCCGTCTATGAGACTCGAAGTTCTGACAGCTGAAGCACAGCATGAACTTTTCATTCTAATCTTGGCATACAGCGGAAGTTGGAGATGGTTGATAAAATTCAGCCCTTGATTAGTTAATTAATTTGTTGCAGTCGTTTGCGAGGTGGAAACCTTGAGAACCAAAGATGTGCATCTAAGTGTTAGCCATCAAAATTTGAGCTCGAATTAACACTCGAACGCCAAGTTTTCGGTTTCATCCATTTTGTGTTCACTCTCTGAGTTTTTTACTAAACTGATTGCGCAACTTTTGTTCTCGTTCATGAGCTCTGTTGTAAGTTCAAGTTGGAATTCTAATATTCCTCTTTTCTGCCTCTCAGAGTGGACTGCGACCCTATATCCTATGGTAATTATTGCTCATTTGGATGAGCACTATTACACCTCTTAATTTATAAAAGCAATTTTGAATTACCCTGTATTGTTCTAATATAATTATTTTGACACAAAATCAGAAATTCTCCTGAAAGGACATAATGATTTTTCCCCTTCTTTCGATTCTACGATTCAAATTGCATCTAAATATTAAATTTTGTAAAGTTGGATGAGAAATTTACCGAGAAATTTAAAAATTTGTCTTGGCGCACTTTTTTTTTCAGTTTGTGCCAAAAGCAATTAACTCGACAAAATTCTTAATTTAGAAAAATGCTATATATAAATCTAATATATATATATCCTAAGTCGCGCTTTTGAGGAAGGAAAATGAAATTTAAATGTCGTCAATCGGCACAGTAAGAACGAGAGATTTATTACATTTACTACATTATTACAACATACCACATTTTTCCATGTAAGATGTATCCCGTGAATTGGAAGTTTAGGTTAATGCACGTCAAGCGTGCATATCAAATGGAAGTTGATATGTACGGCTGATGAAACACAGTCGTCCAGCCAGTGAAAGTGAAAACGTCTGAAAGTAATGTTGGAATTGCATGCAAAAATTGCAAAATTTTACAACATTGAGCACTGTCAGTGTCAGCTGTATAATTTCTTTTGCATGATTCCTTACTGCAGACGCTAATCAAATTGTTGAAAACGTGTGAACTGTCTCTCATCTGTTCAAAATTTTTTCTTAGCAGCTGCTTCTCGCCATCACGACGTTATAAAGTTCAGCACAAGTTTACAGTTGAAGAATTTCATTTTGAATACAAAGTTAAATATATCGTATCATCGAAGTAAGATATTCTCGACAGATTTCATATTCCTTCGAACTGCAAATTAAATTTTGTAAAATATTTTTCTTACCGTCTCTTCTGTTCTTGTTTTAAAAATTGGTAAATACGTTTAGAATCTTCAAAAAAATTCAAAACCTTGCTTGTTATAAGCCGAGCAGATGATTTTCTAACTAGCTATATGACAAAAAAAAATTTGGCTTTAGTACTGCTATAAGCCGAGTTCATGTCACGATTATAGCCCTTGTTACCGTAAAATGATTATTTTGGGACATCCTGCATGTAAAATAAATTTTATTGAACAATTCTGTAAGATGTGTTTGCAACACCTGTGTGTGATCTGGAAATTATTTCACAAGTAATTAAAGTTGTTTATATAAAATGTAGGATTTAGTTCACATAAAATTCTTTGATATATTTTAAGCACTAAGCCAGAAGTCTCTCATTTTAGGAACGAATTACGCCGGTCACGAAATTTCGTTGATGCACCTTCAGTAAAATGAAAATTTATCTATTGTACAAAATGAGGTTCGGTTTATGTGATTACGGCAAAGCCTCGGGGGCTATCTTCCTAAAAGGAGGAAGGGCATCCGTGGAGGACTTTCAAAGGGAAACTGGCTCATATACATGTTACACATAGGGGAAAACCACAAAAACGCCCATGCAGTCAGCCCGTTCTCGGTATTCGAACTTCGAACCGAACTACCAGTGTTTAGCTTATAATGAGAGAATTCTGGAAAAGAAATTTAAAATGCTACTTCAACACATAAATAACAAGTAGGAAAATTACATTTTATTAGCTTGTTGTGTAATACATAGTGGAAATGTAATATTCATATGCATGGAAAAAACAGGAATTTTGATTTATTTTATTCTGATATGCAAATTTTTAGAACCAAGGCTGGGTAATAATTAAAGAAATGTCTCGCTTTTAGTACTTCCTGATTTTCAGATAATTTGATCAAAATTATTATACGGATAGATTCGGAATCATTATTATTCTATCTGCATTATATGTAATTGATTTCATCAGACTAAAATTCACTACAGCAGTGGTCACAAATTGCCCGCAGACCTCATGTACGATCTGAAAATGAATGTTTTTGAACAAATTTTAAAGAAAAAAAAGTAACAAAATAAAAACATTTTAAATTTAGATTACTAGGATTTTTCAAATCATACATAAATAATAATGATAATTACATCCCAAAGGGAAAAATTAAAACTTAATTGATTTTCTGCCTGAAATCTTGTACCTGCAAAATATTTTCGTTGGTTATACTTTGTAATACAAATGTATTGGCAGCTAAATAGTGTTAAATTTTCAAACCGACGTTTATTTAAAACAGTTCTAATATGTTTAATTAATCATTAAGTAACTTATTTCAATTTAAACTGAAAGAAATTATAAAAACTTAACTTTTCAGAGAAACTTTTGTGACTAAATAACGACAACTTGGTCTCTTTCTCTTATTTGTCAAAGTTTTCCTCTACACATAAATACAAACATTTATAAATCATTATCAAATGCTTTTATTTTTTTTATTATAGCTTTATATATTGATGGTGTTTTGAATTTGATAAAGCTTGTAAAATTGGAGAGAAATTATGAGAAATCATCTTCATCACGGCTTGTAGATGCTCATCGGTCAATCGGGACTTTTTTCTTGTTAATTTTTAACTGCGAAAAAATTTTGTTCACATATAAATATATGCCCAAACAAAGCGATTATTCTTGGTACAACAATCCGTAATTAATTTATTTTTAGATAAATGCAAATAAAAGTTAATAAAATGTGCATCCTCAAATATTTGAATAAGATACGTAACATACTGTCAATTAATTTGCGCCATTTATAGATTTCCTAATGCGTTATTCCCATTAGTTTTTAATGGTATTGAAAGTAATGTAAACTCAGACTTCAAATAATAAAAATGTTGGAATCTTTATAACACTGCATTTGTAAAAAATTCATGAATGAAAATGTCTTCGCTGACTGTATAAAAAATTTCTTCTACAGCCGCGTGCCGGTATTTGAAACCATTGCCCTACAGCCTCACCAGTGGCCAGTTAGTTAAGACCACTGAATACTGATAGTTCAACCCGAGTTGCAAGCTAGGGAAATAGACTGGCTGCATGGTTGGTTAATTTTCATGGTCTTCCTTATGTGTAACGTGAATCCGAGTTGGCTTCTTTAGAAAGCTCTTCACAAATTTATCTCTTCCTTTATATAGGCAAACCTGGATTGCTTACATTGTAATAATCTAACGTACTCTAACCAGAATTCACTGGACCAAGAAAATTAATCAAGAAATTACTATGCACATTTCCATGCTGACTTTCGAAGTAGATATATGTACTTAACTCATAGAGTTCAGTTTTTTTTTATCGTAGTCATTTAATTAGGGCTTTAAAAGTTTGATTTCTTTACTTTTAGAAGGAAGAAATCAAAGCAATCACTATCAAAGGAATAAATGTAAATAACAATGTAAAATAGTAATAATTTACATAAAATAATCTCTAACGAAAAAAGCTGTTCATAGTGTACTGTGGAAGGAACTATATATACTTGTATTTAAATGGGGGTTCTAAGCATTACAGTAAGGCGTGATTTAACAAAAAATTTAACATATCGAAGTGGTCGCCATAATTTTATTTGCATGTTAGACCTTCCCTGTTACGGGTCTGACCGTATGAGACATGGCTTTTTATGGACTGGTTTTTGAATGAACTTATACTAGAAAAGTTCAATCTGAAAGTACGCTAATTTAAAAGCATTTCGACAGCCCTTGACCGGATGCGTCACGAACTTATAAACCCAGGACAGATCTGCTTTTCTGCAAAAAAATTTCTACGGGTGCTTTCGAAGTAATATAGTCATTTGTTAAGACAGGTCAAAAATTCACCAGTTTAAAACCGTTATTCGTAAGTACCATAAATAAGGCTTTAATAAAGTTGTTAAATATACTGAGGGAAAGTTTATTAAAAATTCATTAAAACAATAAAAGTTAAATTTCTCGGTCAAGCAATCTCTGTTCAAAAATTTACAAGCCCATACAATTTTTTAATTGCTGCATTTAAATTTCGCCCATTCGGATCACTTCATTTCCCATCCTCGTTTTGATTGTCATCTTGCATAGTAGAATCTGAAGTGCACGAATAAAACCGTTATAGCAGATTTTCCCAGAGTAACACATTTTTAATGTTGTTGATAAAGAAATTATTAAAGATGACTTGATCAGACATTTTGTATTTGAAGCTACAGAGTTTACATTGAGAATATGTATATGAGTGTAATCAATCTTGTTTTTGTTCCGCAGGTGGCAGATATTAATGTGCACTGTATTGTAACTGAGATGGTGATATTTTTAGCAATATTAGTGGATTTTAAAATGTTTTTTCAAAACTAAGAACATGAGTGATGTGCAAAGACCGTAAGGACGGAGTGATACTTAGTCACTGCAGCGAATTTAAGATTATGCGGCAACTTTGATCTTGGAAAAGAACTCTAGTCGATGTGATAAAAGGATGGTGAAGCGAAATGTAGAACAACCTAACTTAAGAACTGGGTAGACTGTATTACTGACTTTTATAAAATCTTAGGAAAAAAAAACAAAGAATATAAAATGACATAACATGGTTGATTAGATTGCCGGTGCTTCCCTTGGAAATCATATCCATTGCCTATTGATGTCTTATAGCGTTGTAGATTGTATTGCTGTCCAATGTTGACTTGACAATTTGAACATCTGTAACTTTTGCATACCTAATACCAAAAGAAAGGTTCATACTTGCTGTTATTGTTTGTTATTAACAGTCGAAGTGCAGATATTCTTTTGAGATATCCTGAATGCTAGGAAAGTTAGTCATAGGATAAATCACATTGTTACACGATAAAAATTAATCACATAGTAACAAGATGAAGATAATCACCGTTACATGATAATGTTGATATCTCATCGCCATATAAATTCATGAGACAATCAATGACTGACGTCTAAATGCTATGTTTGCCTCTATGTCAAAGCTCGAGGTAACTCGTATGGAATATTTAAAGTGCGTGAAAGTATAATTAAGTAGCAATTGTACAATATGCATCCCGTGCAGCATATCTGTTTACCAATGGTCGAGAAGCAAAATCGCTAAGCACTGGTAGTTTAGCTTTGTTAAAATTCTGGCGAACGAGCTCGTTGCACGTAAAATTTTATGGTTTACCTCATGTGTAACGTGCTCACCAGCGGCTGAGTGGTAAAGTCGCTGAACACTGAGAGTCCCGGCGAATGGTTTCGTTGCGTTTTCTTCCATGTATAATGCGCTTACTAGCGGCCGAGCGGTAAAGTCGCTGAACACTGGTAATTCGGTCCAGGTTCAAATCCCGGCGAACCTGCTGTTTGCACGGACGTTTTCGAGATTTTCCCTATGTGCAACGTATATACGAACCAGTTTCTCTTAGAAAGCCCTCCACGAAGGCAACCCTTCCCTTAGGAAGATAGCCCTCGAATGCTTTGCTGTCATCAAATAAAACCAAACCCCATGTATAGCGTAGATGCAAACCATGCTACACATGAGGCCCTCAAAAATCTCTAAATAGCTCTCGCAGGTAGTGCCAGTATCAAACAAGCCAAAACAAAAACATTCAGCAAATCAACTGTAAACCTGCCTGCTATTTGAGATTCAAAATCATATCTTTCTGCATTCATTTCACAAAATAAACGCTATTTTCAACATCGGTTTCGTAAAAGCAAAAATTTGAATTTGATTTAACCGAAAACGTGTTTAATGTTGAAAAACTAGAATGGTCCGAATCGAACTTAAAGTACGGATTACTTATATTAGTGCATTTTGTAGCTGTTAATTTTAACAAAATACCTCTTTTAATGCCTATTTACAATCTTCAATTTCTTTCAGGTGTTCTATTATCTACATCTGTTATCGTTTTTCTTCTGGATATGCTTGATTCTTCATGGTCCAAGCTTCTGGATGTGGTTCTTAGGACCTGCTGTCTTGTTTAGTATTGAAATTGCTATTCGTATCAACAGAAATCTTTCAAGTGGAAAAACTGCTTATGTCAAGCAAGGAGTTTTGCTACCATCTAAGGTAAAAAAAGTTGACGATCCTTTTCTTCCTCACATACCACGTTTTACATGATGGAAAATTTCAGAACTCCGAATTTCCTAACAAAGGATTGCACTGTCTGTTTATCCATTATCACTATTTTAAAAAAAGGTTTTATTTTCTAATTTTCGATAACCGTTAGCGAAAATGAATTAATATGAAATTCTCAAACTGAAGTGAAGAATTTTCAGACGAAAAATCTTCAATAACAGAAACTCGGACCAAATTAGAAAAGTTGATTGAATGTGTGCTAGAAAGTCTTTAGAAGTTTGGAATAGCACAAAAAATTCAATGGATTCGAAAACTGACATTCAATTTTATGCAGAATGTGAGAACAGTTTTCTCACTGAATCGTCATTTATTTAATCGTAAATTGAATCGTCATCGAAGCAAGCAGGAATAAATTCTCGCAGATTTTTCTCTTTTTTTCTGACTACGACGACAAACGGGAGAGTAGGGTTTCGCTCCCGCTCTTCCTGTAATGGAGTATAGAAGGTATACAACGTAGCTGACGCTTAAAGAAAGCATGAGGTGCTTAGGACGAGAAAAATGGATTATTTCTGCATGTTCCTAAATTTTTTTGCATTTTGTTCTGCTGCAACATTTTGTGCATTCCATCGTGGTAACTGGAGCTCGTGATGCGTATGTTAGTGAAATGCGTGTAGCTGAGGCATACTCAGCGTTAAAATATAATAGAAGGTATGGAAATCAGCTTGGACGGATCTATTTTACTAAAATAAACGTGAACAGTGTAACATCAAGAATGAGATAAGCGATTCCAGCGAAAAATAGTGAACGATGTCAACAGATTATCTTCGGATCCATTTTTCATGCACGTGATTGGTTGCGCAGCCAGTTAACTGTGGCGCCCTCATTTAAGAAATGTGCACCGTTCTGTATCGCCAGAATCGACCCCTGACGAGTATATTCGTCAATCACAGATTACATTGCGCTGGTAAGAGAGTGGATGAAAAAGATGGATTTATTTAACAAAATCGAAACTTTTATTACTAATATTTACTTATTTGGTTAACATAAGCATATATTATATACATATTAAACTAAAAACGCAATAAATTAAATATTGTACATTTATACATATAAAAGTAAGAATTTAAATTCCTGCTGTGGAGTGATTTTCAGCGAAACAGGATACTATACACAATGGGACTTTGCAAATCGAACACCAATAACGCGATCCCTTCCTGATCTTACGTTTGTAGCAATGCGAACACCTTCGCGTAGGGTTATTTTTTGTTTCCGATGTTCCTTGTATATAATCTGGAACATGATTCCCGCCTAATTGTTTTATATTAGGTCTAAATGGCCGAGTTTGTGTCAATTTATTTCTTTCAATTGGATTCGTCGCAAAAGTGTCTTCAATAAATTTGAGCAAAACGTTGATACGCGATAATGTTCCATTATTTTTTATATAATATGAATGCATTCAGACACATAATTAAGAAATGTAGAAACATCTTTATGTAGTACTTTTTGAGTTGTTTTCTTGCTGTGGAGTATCCTATGATAATTCCATCGCTCATATCCACTCCACCTATTTTTTTATTATAATCAATCACTATCTCCGGTTTCTTTGTTATTATTTTTCTTTTCTTTGTTTCTATTACGTTGCTTTATACGTATGACGAGTATACTCGTCAACACACAAAATCGCAATCCTGCCGCTTCTCCATGACGAGTATACTCATCAATCACAGTTAACTGGCAAATGGCGTCATAATGTTCTTACATGTATATTTAACCCAGAGTGCAACTAAATTTATTCATGAGTAACTAAATAGACTAATTTTGTAAAATAAATATGTGTATTTTTGAGAGGCATTGTAGCGAGCGTTAGCAAGTGAAATATTTTATTTACTTCTTTTTCTAGGGTTAACACATGCAATGTACTAAATTTTAGTGTAGGCCAGCAACTACTGGGCACATGTGAATTTCTTTTCGACGCTTAGAACGTATCTCATTTAGTACAAATTTTACACCATCACACAGAATAAGCTCATTTTTTACGTAATATGACCTGAATTCAAGAATGAAGTTCAAATATTTTTGATAATATGAAACTATGCTTTTAATTAAATTTCCTAGACTATCCATTTTTGATGTGTTCTTTTTTTGATTCATTAAATTTAGATTTTCTTCCAGGTAACTCATCTTGTAATCAAGAGACCTCCAAAGTTTGATTTTAGGCCTGGTGATTATGTTTACATTAATATACCTGCTATAGCTAAGTTTGAATGGCATCCTTTTACAATAAGCAGTGCTCCTGAACTTGATGGTAAGTTGTTGTTGTTTTTTCAACTTGGATCTCGTTCTTCAAACACTGTTCTTGATATTTGATTTACATACTTTTCAGGTACTTAAATATTGATCATGTACATCCTTTCAATTTACAGTTTCTTGAAATAATATTGTTTTATGAAAACATTTTCCAACTTTATGAACAGAAGAGCTCTGTAAAAGTAAACTTAAATTTTTATATGGTTCTTTTATAGCAAAAACTCCTATAAAAATTCCCATAAATTAATTGGTAACATGTACATTACTTTAATAATTAACATTAAAGCTAATGTATATATTAATGTGTATGTTAGCGATATAAAGGCAAAAATGTAGTGTCATAGTTGGATAATTAATTAGTAATATGGGCATTTAACTTAAATATTACATACCTTTTTATGTAAAATAGTAAGACAAATTGATATTTTTTCTTTTACCGAAGAGTAATTCTTGTTTAAAATGTGCTCCTTAAACTGGAAGGGCCTTAAACTTTAGTTGGTAAGAGACATTGGAAAATAATCTAGGCATTTAATTAGTTCTCAAACATTCAGCGAATTGGGTGTCTGCTGTCTACCTGTATGCTTAGAAGCTAATATCGACTGCTGTATGCTGTTTCTATTTCAAGGATGAGAGGTATTCAAGCAATGAATATAATTTCTAAACCACTAGCGGGTCTCAATCCTTTCAGAATCACATAGTTGTACTTTATTGTTGAGTGCACGTTCCATGCAATCTTCCTTCCAGATATAATGCAAAGATCATTTCCAATTAAATTTTCCTCATTTTGTAAACAACTTACTTACAATTTTGAAATATCAATAGCAAACACCAGTAAGAAACTATACTCTTTTGGAGTCAGAAGTGCTATATATGTTTAAAATGCTCACTATTAACAGCAACATATAATCTGCTGCAGTAAAACAGACTAACAAGTAATAGATAAAATCTCCTCAGCAAAGAAAGTATAACTTTATTTGCATGTCTGAGGTTATTCAGTGTCTGGAGTTTTTCTGAAATTTTGTGAAAGAGTGTGAAAACAAATTCTGCAGTTTCTTAGTTTTTTTTTCCTTGCTCCACTGCCCTTTTTGTACATGCCACATGTAAGTCTTCGCAGCTCAAAGCTCTTAATCTCATTGCCATTGCTCTGATGAAGTAGCAAGTTCCGCTCTCCTTGCCTCACATACATTCTTAATTTTCCTGTAATACTTAAAAATCCATTAACATGCTCATAAAAGATTACAAGGTCCTCAGCCACTTCGTGTTCACTAATGCCCCAGCAAAACCTAAGAGTGCGAAAATGTCTATAGGCACTAATTCACGTATAACGTAGACATCGCAGCTTCAGAGAACGATGTCAACTCATCTTTAACAGTTTCTCTGCTGTCAACATTCAAATGCAGTAAACATCATTTGGAAACAATCTGTATGCATGCCAAAAGGTAAAACTACCAAGTATGTATAATATAAAATGTTCAATTTCACTGCAACATAATTTTCTTTTCCAGACGTCATCTGGCTGCACATCAGAGGTGTTGGTGAATGGACTAACAGTTTATATAGTTATTTTCAGCGAGAAGATAAAGAAGCGATTTTGAGCGATGAACTTGCTCAAAACCTTGTCCATCATTCCCCTCAAAAAGATGATAAACAAGCACAAACAAATGAATGTTTACTTTCGGTTGAAGCCGATAATCCCTCAAACCTGAAGCTTGCAAAAGCTATTCCTGTCACATCTGTTGGTGGTAAAGACAGCCCAGATGACACATTCGTATTTAAGTCTACTTCATCAGCAGTCGGTCCAAATGAAGCTACAGCTTCAAAAGCTCCTGGAAACTGTACTTATCTTAATGTTGTTGACGATAAAAGCTATACGAACTCTTCATTTTGCTCGGATGAAAGCGTGAATGATACAGTTATAAAACTAGACTCTCTTGATACAACATATAATGTCGATTTAAAGGTAAACAGGGGAAGTTCTCTGAATGAACGTTCTGGATCTCCAAGTATTTGGCAAAGAATTTCCTTGCGTTCAACTTCTGCTAGTCAAGCCAAACGAATAAATAAGGAGAACATTCGTTCTACAGTAGCAGTTCAGGACAAAAATACCTTAAAACTAGAAAATTCACATCAATCCAGATTATCCTGGAAAAAGTCTCCGAAAGAAAAAAGAAAATCTGTCCGTATTTCTGTAGCAAAGAGAGGGTTGAGACGTTGTCAGACCGTCATTGTCATGCCAACAGTTGGTGACGACGAAGATTATGAAGAACTGAAGAATGAAGAGGATGAGGATTACTTGGAAAACGATGATGTTAAGGATCTGAAACGAGAAGAAGAAAATATTGTGATAACTCAAAAATCTTTAAAGGTAAGTTCTAAGCTCTTGTTTTACCTTTCATGTGTTATCAAAATGTCTTCAAGCTGATAGTGCATGCATTTACAAATACTAAAAACATTTCATATAAATACACTGGTTATCATAAATTAAGGAAAAATCACAAAAATACCGATAACTCCCTCAAAAATAAGCCAAACCGTGTAAAATTTGAATATGGTACCAAGTAGTAAGAGTAGCTGAGTAAAACTTCAATATGCAAATTAGTGGCGCTGCACTCGGAATACGTCATCTGCGAGGAGCATAAAAGCCCATGTTTGAAAGCATGCCCACATATTTCACCGTGACAGTGACATCAGAAATCTGATACAGCCAATTCGTAACAATGGCCTCCAGACATTTGCCTGCAGAACTGCAATGGAGAGCCATTGGGAGACTAGAGGCAGGACAAAGTCAAACAGAAGTGAACAGATTGCTAAATGGGAGTGCTTCTGTGGTTCATAGACTTTGGAGGCAATTTCAAATCACAGATTCGACACAGATTAGGAGGTTCAACCAAGGAATCACAGATTAGGAGGTTCAACCAAGGACGACCAACTGCTACGACGAGCGCCGATAACCGATATTTGACATTATGTGCACTCAGGAATAAAACCGCTACTCCGACTCTTAGATCCTCCCTTGCTGCAGCCACCGGAAGGTTGGTGTCAACGTCAACTCTGCGTAGAAGGCTTCACGAAGGTGGTCTGTATGCGCGAACAACCATTTGCGTGCTGCTCAAGTCACGCCATAGGAGGGACCGTTTTCAGTGGGCACGACAATATGTCCACTGGACGCCTGAGCAATGGAGGGCTATTCTCTTTACGGATGAGTCCAGGTTTAGTCTAGAACGCGATAGTAGGCATTTGATATCAAGAGAACCTGGAACCCGTTATCATCCGTCAAACATCCGTGAAAAAGAAGCATACGGAAGAGGCATGGGATGTTAAATAAATGTTTTAATGTATGGGATGTAAAATAAATGTTAGGAATGTTAAATAAATGTTTGGGACGGCATCCCTTTGGGTGGACGCACAGATCTACATGTTTTTCCAAGGGGAACCGTCAATGCTCATGTTTATAGAGATGACATCATTGATGCTTATGTGCGCTCATATGCCGGGGAAATAGGTAATACTTTCCTGTTACAGGACGACAATGCAAGACCACATAGGGCTCACATCGCATATGATTATCTTCACCAGAAAACAATTATGCATATAGTGGCCAGCTCGATCCCCGGACTAGAATCCAATCGAGCACGTTTGGGATGCTTTAGGGAGACGTTTAGCTGCTTTCAATTCGCCCCCTTAGACCCTTGCCGCGTTTGCAACTGCTTTGCAAGCGCAATGGCTCTCGCTTCCTATGGAACTGAGACCGCATAATTGAAAGCATCACACATCGCTGAATGTGTTGTATTGCTTCTAGAGGCAATTATATTCCATATTAAAGGTACTTTTACTATAGCAAACTGACATCTTCGATTTGTTCATTTTATACATGTGCTAGTTTCTATACTGCTATAATTGCCTGGTAATTTCTTTTTATGTTATTATGTGTAACGTGTATACGAGCCAGTTTTCCTTAGAAAGACCTCCACGAAGGCATTTCTCCTCTTAGGCAGATAGCCCTCGAGGTTTTGCCATAATCACACACACACACTTTTTATGTTATTTGATACCTTACTATGTGTTGTATATCGTGGGTAAGTTTCATAAAATTCTACATGTATCTTTTTCAGTAATCGTGGTTTTTGTGATTTTTCCTTAATTTATGATATCCAGTGTATTCCCAAATTATGTTTTTAAACTATTACATATATATTTATGTATATATATATACACTATTAAATGTTTAAAAATTACTTCTTCCCCTGAAAAAATATCTGTCAAATGATATTTTAAAATAAAAATGCAACTTTTGATTTTGTGTAATTTCATGTTTCTCGCACGCATTTAGATTATTTCGGATATTTTTTTTTCTCTGAAAGTTTGAAAATCATATTACTGGCATTAGCAAAAATAACATCTTATTTTTCTAATTGGACAGTGTTCATTGACTTCAGAATAATGTTTATGTTAAATAGAATGGCATCTGTACTTTTTAGCATATTAAAGGAGAAATTGCTATCGAAGATTTTCAACAGTTTTCAATTTGACGAATAACGTTTTGGCATATAAATATAAATCAGTGTATCATTTTACCTGATAGCTGAAAATTGTAAAAAACTAACGGAATTTGAAATAAACTTTGTACATTTAACAAAGTAAATTTAATTAAAACGGAAATGCTGTATAAACAACTTACATGACAAAATTAATGAAAAGTAACAAAGAATAAGGGAAAAAGTTATTGTCCATGCAAAATTCCACCGAAATTCGAACTGACTGAGTTGTTAATTTTTTTAAATCGTTCACTAGAGTGGTGCAGCAGAAAATGGAAAATTAGAATGTAGATTAAATTGAAAAACTCATTATTGTGGTATCTCGTTATGAAAACTAACTACAAAAGAATTGACGAGATATTTGTTATTAAAGGCGGAATCATATTTAGGGGCCGTGCAGAAATTGAAGAGCGGGTATTTCCATGTGTACGGAACTAAAAATAAAATGTCGGGTTATTAGTTTCATATATTAAAAAATTAAGTAGTTCTATGCAGATTGTCAAAAATATTGAACGATATATTTTTCGAAATGCAAATCTTATTCATAGAGCCTTGTAGAACTCGTACTGTCCTTGAAAACGTAATATTTGCATTAATTAAAAATGAGACATATTTATATTTGAAGGAATTTTTTTACGATTAACAGATTACGATTGTAAAGTAACAAAACTTCATGAAAATATTAATAACGTATTTTTAGACTTTAAATTTTCAAAAAGTAATAAGTTACTTGTGTGAATTCTTTCGGTGTACCTGATTTGTAGCAAAATTATAAAAAAAAAAAAAAAAAAATGTTACACGCTAACAAATCACAAAAGAATATCCTTCAATAGTATTTAAAAGAGGAAAAAATCAACCTCAAATTTTAAATTATTTATGAATAGACTCCTAAATGCAAATTGAAAATCGCGTCAGAAATAGCAATTTTGGTACTAAATCTCAATTGCCTTATGGTTTTTATAATTTGTCGGATTACGAAATGCATGTAAATTGTATAATCATTTTTTTCATTTAAAATAGGATATTTACCTATATACTCATTTTAATGATGGAATTTGTGCATTCCAATTATAGTATAACTTTTTTAAAGTGTGATATCACTTCCTGTCGATAGTTTTATACTTTTATTTCCTTCTAGATATTCTTAGATGGACCATATGGATCTCCTACTCGTCATATATTTCAAGCCCGGCATGCAGTTTTGATAGCCACTGGCATTGGAGTAACACCTTTTGCCAGCATCCTCCAGAGTATAATGTGTCAGTATAAGAAATCCAAACACACTTGCCCAAAATGCAGCCATAAATGGTCTGATCCCATACCAGTATCCAACATTCACCTTAAAAAGGTATGTCATAAAACTTAAGTCCTCGTATAAAATTGTAATTAAACTAGTAAGTTCTTTCAGTAAGACAAGCCCACCAGCATCCGAGAGGTAAAGTCACGGAACACTGGTAGTTCAGTTCAGGATTTGAATCCTGGCGAACGAGCTGGCTGCATGGACGTTTTCGTGGTTTCCCTCATTCATAATGCGTACACGAGCCAGTTTCCCTTAGAAAGTCCTCTAAGAAGGTATACCTCTCCTTAGGTAGATAGCCCGCAACTGCGTTGCCATAATTAAATAAACAAAATCAAATCAATATTTTTCATGTAAGTTTAAAGCTATTTATTTTATCGAAACAGTTTTCTTTTCTGGAGGTTAAAGACAAATGTCAGTCGCAAACCTGCATCATAACCTTAGAACATTTTTAATTTAGGAGAGACTTATGGAAGACATTATTTGTCAATTTTTCTTTTCTGAGAACAATGTCGATTTCTTTCTTATCTGGTGACTGTTGATAGCAAAGAGAACAATTTTTTGTGTAAACAGTTTAAGTTGCAGTTGCTGCAGTAGATGGCGCTGCGAGCAAGGCTGGTGTTTATAGTAGCTGTTGCCAGCGAGGATTGAACTTGGGTTCCCTTTGTTCGTAGGTTAATACCCTGCCTATTGCACAGAAATCTAGCTCTAGCTCTAGATCTGAATGTCGTATTGTTTTTGACGAATGAAGAGGCTGCAGAGTAAAATGTAAAGCAATTTGGGAAGAATTAAGGGAAACTGATAAATTCGAACACGTTTCTTATCAAATCTCTAGTTTATAAGCAAGTTTTGAATTACTGTAATTATTATAGATACTTAACAAAATGTTTGTACAGGAATTTGACTAACTTATTCCAAATTTTTAAATATTTTTCTTTTAGGTGGACTTCTTTTGGCTTAACAGGCACCAACGTGCCTTTGAATGGTTCGTAAATTTATTGAGTGAGTTAGAAGTTGAGCAGGCTCAATTAGAAGAAAGGGACCGCTTCTTAGACATTCACATGTACATAACTTCAGCTCTCCGCAGGACAGATATGAAAGCTGTTGGCCTACAAATGGCGTTAGATCTACTCTACAAAAAAGAAAAAAGGTGCCTCATAACAGGACTCAAAAGTCGAACACAACCAGGAAGACCAGACTGGAATAAAGTAAGTGGACTTAAATATTCGCCTTGTTTGCTCCCAATATAAATGAAATATTACTGCATTAGTGAAAACATGTTGGAAGGGGCATCAAATTCAGTCCTTCCAGAAAGAGAAAATAAGCTTTTTTTTTCATGAAAGTGTATAATCAGTTTTGTTATTAGCTATGCATCAAACCGTATACGTAATCATAAAATGAATCTGCACATTTCTTTTAAATTCATAAATGTCTAATTTAAAAATTCGTACTGCAGTTCAGTGGCCATGCAAACATACTTGAAACTTAGCCACTGAGTTTCAGTACAAATTTTGAACTCTCATCTGTTTTTAATAAAAGTTCAATAATATTTTGACTGAATAATATAACAAAATTTCTGATATTTTATTCATTTTTCCATAGGTTTTCACCGAAATAGCCAAACAGAGAAAAGGAAAAGTTACAGTATTCTTTTGTGGACCAAATGAGTTGGCGAAAGTCTTATCAGCCAAATGTGATGAATTTAAATTCCGATTTAGAAAGGAGATATTTTAAATATTTTAAACTCGAGCTTTTATTTTTATACTTCTTAAATATCTTTTTTTATTTTCTAAATGCGTTTGTCTTATCTGTAAACTATATTTTTGTTATTAAACTTGTACCTCTAAGAATTGTGTATTCTACGTAATTATTCGTTCTGGGAAATAACTGAAAAAAGTTTTTTTATATGTATACTATACGTAGTTCTGAAGTGTACTTAGAATTCAAATTATACGCAGCTCCAAGTATTCTCATTGTTTTCTCTTTTCATTCAGTTAAAGTTAAGCTAGTTTTAACATGTTTTTAATTTTTAGATTGATTAAAAGTATAACATTTAAATGGCTTATAGGTCAGGTGAAAATTAAGAACATTTTCTATAAACACAACTACAAGTTTGATATAAAATAGTCGATGTTCAAGCTAAAGTAAGTATTTAGGTTAGGCTAATAAGTTAAGAGAAAACAACTAGAGGGCTGTCTGCCTGTGGTGAGAGATAACTTCGTGAAGTACTTTCTAAGAGAAATTGGCTCACATCTAAGTTATATACGGGGAGCGCCACCATGCAGCTAGCCGGATTGAACTACCAGTGTTGAAAGACTTTACTGCTCGAGCGCTTTTGAGACTTATTATCAACGCAACTAACGACGCCGTGGATAAGAGCCATTAATGTCAATTTATAGAGTGATTCATCTATTGAATTTTTCTATCCAATCAAATCATGTGAGTATCCAATAAAACAAGTCCATCGGATACTCCATAAATTTAAATCCTACCTATACAATTCTTTTTTCCATGATTTTCGGATAAAACTTTATTTGAAAAACCAAATCTTTCCGAAAATGCTCTGTGAAGTATTCAGAAATTTTGATATAATCAACAGTGGCATAATTAGAAGTCAACGAAACAGGCGATCTGTAACAGACAGCACATTTTAGAAGGCGCCACTTTTCATTCGAGAGAAATTTGAGTAATTTTTTTATTTAAGTTAAATTAGTAATTTTATTGTTTTAGTAATAGCACTAAACTTTAGTTTATTAGCAATAACATTAATAAACTAAAGTAATATCACCTTTTTCTCTACATTTTAAATTTTGAAAAATAAAGTAATAAAATTCGCTGCTAAGTAAATGAGCTTTGTTTTCCATGCTTTGATGAAATTTTTGTGTATTGAGAAGGGTGGAATGAGAAAAAATCATTGTCAAGTGCTCAAATAACATAATTTACATCATTATCATTTACTTTAGAAGAAATAACAGAAGTTTTCGAAAATCTATGCTCGAATGTAACCTTAGATTTCACATGCACTATATCATTAACATTGAATGATCTTAATATGGCATTTTTCATTTGACGAGTATTCAGTTATACTTGCTTCATTCCAACATCTCATAGGCATGCTCATAACTTAGTTTTAGTTGTGTTAAAAGTTATCAAGTGGATAATGTCGTCCAGCTGACTCGCCGCAGAGGAGGTCGCCAGCATCTTGATGAATAGACATCATCAAGATGCCGTTATACCTGGTGTTCTTGGCTCCCAATTATAAAAGTAGGACTATTCACAACCTTGAGTATGTAATAAGACTCCGAGTTAGTGTTGAAACTTAGAAAGGACATAGAGGCCCCACGCAATGTTATAGATGCCAGGGCTTCTATCATGCTCAGAGCACCTGAAAGTTACCCCCACGCTGCGTGAAATGTGGCTTGGGACATGAATCCAGAGACCTTCCTCCAAAGTGTGCTAACTGCGGTTTAGAACACGTCGCAAGCTATAGAGCTCGTAATGCCTTTCCGAAACCCAAGCCACAAGGAAACAGACTTTTTTCTGAACGCGTTGTGACAAACAGCGCCCATACGATAGACTCCAGAAATTCCTTAGAAATTTCTGAGTTAAATCACAAACTCACGGAGGCAAAAGAAGCGAAAGCTAAACTCACAGCTGCACTTACTATGCTAAAAGACCTCCAAATCCCCAACGCAGTTGGAAACTCAGTCAGGTCACCATCTAGCCAGGATGAATAGACATTCTCGAAACTCGCATACTCCGATCAGAATTTTATTATGGAACCTTCAAAATCTCACCACAAATATCCACGAGCTTCAAGATTTCGTCAGAAGAGAGGACACGGATATCTGTATGATTACAGAAACCCACGTTACCCTAAGTAAATATCTGAATATTCCAAACTTCACTTCATTTAGATGCGATAGATAGCGCCACAGTGGCGGTGGAGTGATTATCTACGTAAAAAAATCCTACGATGCTTTCCTTCTAAACATGGACAACTCTAAACTGTAAGAGATGGTAAAAGTGCAAGTAAAACTCCCGAAGTTGGGGAAAGTAAACTTTTGCACAATGTACAATCCACCGGACAACTCCTTGTGTGAAAATAATCTGAACGACTTGTTAGCCAGCTAAGAACCCTGCATAGTTGGAGGGGACTGGAATTCCAAACACAGATTGAGGCTGTCACAGCACCAATAAAAATGGAAAAATTATCCATAGCTATGTTAGTAACCATCCTGTTTACTTTTCTTCCGAATCAAGCTACTGTCCCACTGTCTGGGAAGGAGACACGACATTTTGGACTTTTTCCTGGCTACCGAAAATTTCCCCAGGTCTCTTGAGACTGTTACTGATTTATCGTCAGATCACATTTCAGTGATTGCACGACTAGGTGGGATTCGGCAGACTAAAACTAACTGGGCTCGACGGACTGGAATCTGTTCTATAACATTGCCCTCACCTCACCCTTCAACATAGACTCGCTCCGATCCGAGACTGACAGCGACGAAGCAATCCAAAATTTTACTTCTCAGCTACAGGACTTCCTACAAAAGGCTACCTCTGCTGTTAACACTAATCAGGCGGACGGCACCCTGCCCGCTAACATAAGAACAGTAATTGCGGAAAGAAAGACTCAGAAATCAATATAGCAGAGAGTGGAACCCAGCCACAAAAACGATCATTAACAGCCTCACACGTCAAATTAAAAGCCTTATCAGTGAGCATCGAAAAGAACTCTGGAACAATAAAATTGATAATCTAAATTTGGATGACGGCTCTTTTTGGAAATTCACTCGAAACCTCAAAAAGGACTTTTATCACCCTCGTCCAATTAAAACAGAGAACGTTTTCGCCTATTCCAATCTGGAGAAATCTCATACCTTCGCAAACATCTCAGCGAACAGTTCGTGCAAAACGAAATTTCAATTGGTAGCGAGTCGGTAATTGATGACGAGGTGCAACGTTGACTCGACACACCTTCTCGACGTAACATTATTGAACTCACTACTCCTCAGGAAGTTAAGGATATATCCATCACAAAACTATCATTGAATCTCTCCATGTGTAAATATCGTCAATATAAATTTGCAATGAATTCTGCACAGCTTGAACTAATAGAACTGCAGAGCAGAGTTCTAAGCGAAGAATAGAAATTACTTTCAGGGGAGCTACAAGAGTTTTTGATGTTAGTAGCTGCACCGAAACTGAAGAATTATTTGAAGATTTTAAATAAATCACTGCGACGTAAGCTTTCTCTGATGCGTCACAGAAACAATGAAGTTCTAGATTTGTAGCTTTGAGCAATAATACTGTTGCGTGCGTACGGGTTCGTTACGAAATGAATGCACAAGTCCGATGAAAAATGAACAAAAATTTATTATTATCACAACAAAAATGCTTAAATTTTCTCAAATTATCATGCAGTATTACAATATCTCACAGTAGTTATCTTTTAACTACTCAAATGTCCAATAGAACGTAATTCAAAACAGCTAAAGAAAGCTAATCCGCGAATTCGCTACAATCAACAAGAGCAGTTTTCTAAACACAACAAACTAAGCAACTACTACAAACTGAGATGTTTTCCTCCTTTTATAAGATTTTAAAATCACGCGCTAGAATTTTCCAGTACTTTCTCGAAATCAAAGAGCTATTTATTTATTTAATGCACGCGCTCTTGTATTTTCAATTTTCCGGCTTAGCTTTCTTTTAATATTCGTCACGCGCTGCACTGCGCGAGAAATAAAACCATTTAATTTGTAATTGAACTAACATTAGCTTTTTAAATACCAAATTCGTAACACTGCCTCCTTCCCAAGGACTGCACGTCCCGGGCAGTGCAATCCCTGGACAGGAAGCTAAACTTACAACTGTGGCATAAATGCATTTAAGCATTACATTACAATAATAAACAACATGAACAATAAATGCAATAAATAAAACAAATCAAATGCTATCAAATACAAATCAAATACTAAATGCAAATCAAATACTAAATACAAATCAAATCAAATACACATTTAAAAACAAAATGGACCATGGTCTTATACTATTTACAATTATTTACATTATGTACTATGGCCATAGTAATGAGCTAACCTGTCGTAATGAACGACTTTAGGTTTAGAGATCGAAGACTTACAAATCCGAACCACGACGTTATTCAGCCTGTTTAGGACTGTGTACGAGCCATCCCAAGGTGACTGTAATTTCGGAGAAAGTCCTTTCCGTCGAGTCGGATTCCACAACCACACCTTGTCTCCTTCGTGGAATTGATGTTCAGTAGTTCTTGAGTCGTATCGGGTCTTCATCTTCTCCGTCGCCAAGTTGACTCGCTCTCGTGTAAAGTTGTGCATCACTTCAAACCGGGCCTGGAGATCTTGAATATATTCCTCAGACGAAGAAGGAGCATCCGGAGGGCGACCAAACAGTAGATCACAAGGCAGGCAAAGATCACGACCGAAGAGCATCTATGATGGAGAATAGCCGGTAGTTTCGTGGACAGCACTGCGGTAAGCCAGTAAAAAGAGTGGTAATTTCTTGTCCCAGTCCTGTTGGTTTCTGGAAACCACTAATGAGAGGTTATTAAGGATGGTTCGATTGAACCTCTCTACCATGCCGTCCGACTGGGGATGCAATGGCGTCGTTTGAGTTTTGTCAATGCCGAGTAGTTTGCATAGTTCTTTGATTACTGCCGAGGCAAAATTCCTTCCCTGATCGGAATGTAACCGAAGAGACACTCCGAACATGGAAATCCAGTACTGTATCATTACCTCAGCTACTGTGACAGCTTCTTGATCAGGAACAGGGTACGCTTCAGGCCACTTGGTGAAGTAATCCATGACAACGAGTATGTATTTGTTGCCATCAGCAGTTCGTGGCAGAGGTCCCAAGATGTCAAAGGCGATACGTTCAAAAGGCGCC